TCCATCAACCCCTCTTCCTTTCATCCATTCACACAATTACCATTCCATAAACCAATACATCCATTAATCCATCGTGCATCCATTAATCATCATCCATCTACCCAATCATTCATCAAACATCCATTCATCCATCATCTCTCATCCATTACCAATCCATCCATCCATCTATTCATCACCCATCCACCATCCATCCAACCATCCACAAACCATCACCCATCCCTCATGCATCCATCCACCCATCCATCTATCCATCCATCCATGCATCCATCATCCATCAACCATCCCTCCTTTCTTCTTCCTTCCTTCCTTGCTTCCTTCTTCCTTTATTCTTTCCATCTATCCATCCATCTATCCATCCTTTATCCATTATCCATCATCCATTTACCAATCCATCCACCTATCGATCTATCCATTTACCTATAGATCAACACACATCCACCCATCCATCCATTTACCCATCCACCCATCTATCCACCAATCCATTCACCCATTCATCCATCCATCCATCCATCCATCCACCCATCGATCCACCCATCCACCCATCCATACATTCACCTATTCATCCATTCATCCATCCATCATCCATCCATCCATTCACCCATCTACACATCCATCCATGCATCCATCCACCCATCCATGCATCCATCTGTCCACCTATCCACCTATCCATCCATTATTTATCTACCCAACCTCCATCCATCCATCCATCCATCATCCATCTTTCCATCCCCAAATGACTAAGTGTCCAGCTATGTAGCTGACGCTATGCTGTGTGCAGTGGACAGAGGAGCTACATGGGACAAAGGAAAGAGTGGGACCAGGAGAGCAGAGGAGTCACCTGACTGAGCCACGGACTTGGTAGAAGCTCAAGTAGGAGCTGGCCAGAGTGAAGGGGACAAAGGAGATCCAGGCACAGGAAACAAGATGGGAAAGACTGAGAAGCATGAAGCTGTCTGCCTGTGGTTCCTAGGAACTGATGATGCTGTGTGCGGTGTGACCGCAGCATGGCAGGTGTCAGAACCCCCCGGGATATGCTTGCCAGTTCAGGCCTCACTGAGGACAGAGGCAAGGGGTTGTCTGCAGATGCAGTCCCCCCACATTGACCTGTGTGGGTCCCTGGCAGGTGGAAATGGACCCAAAGCCTTTCTTAACCTACTGTGGTAGATTCAGGAGGGTACAGATTCAGACACAGAAAGTAGTCTGTTCAGGGTCACACAGGTCATAAGGGGCAGCGCTGGGATCTGAACCAGGGCTGCCCAGCTCCTGAGCCAGGTTGGAGCAGCTGGGGTTCCCGAGCATGGCCTGAACCGGGGTGTCCCCAACCTCTGTGGTGGGAACGCTCCTGTGTCCTCCAGCTCCAGTGGTACAGGGTGCTCACGTCCGAGGTCCCCATGAGTGAACGCTCCTCCACGGCCACCATGGACCCCAGCGCCCCCCCCCCCCCCAAGCATGACCTGAAGGGACAGGAGCACTGGGAGGGTGAGTTACCCCGAGGCCCCAGAGCTGAGCAGAGGCAAAGCAGGGGCAGGGCCACAACACAGCTCCTCATTAATTCTCACAGCAAAGTCCGGACAGGACTGCGGCCCCATTTTACAGATGAGGACACTGAGGCCGGGACAAACATGCTTCCCCAAGTGCTGTGTTGGATGAGCATCCCCAGGAGGTGGAGGAGGCTTTGAGTGCCTCCAACATCCAGTCCCCCTCTCCCCGTATTTGCTCAGGGGGGCCCAGGAAGGAAGCCAGGCATAGCTGACCATCCCTGTGCCAAATAGTCATGGACCCAGCCTCCTGTGGGGGGCAGGGGGGAGGCCAGTGGCTGATTCTGGCCACTGAAAAGGAAGGGACCGTCTGCTGCCCGGAGGTGGAGACGGTTTGGGGGAAGCTTCCTTGCCCTGACAGGAGAAAGCACTGGGGGGCAAGGCCCTTTTCGCTGCTGCCCGCCCCCCTTCTGCCTTCACATCTGCTGGCGGGGACTGTGCCAGCTTGTGACCAGGGGGGACCAGCAGAAGAAAAACAGCCAGCATGCTGACAAAGGCCGGCTGCAGGACAAAGTGACCCAGGAAGGGACCAGAGAAAAGACAAACGCCTAGAAGGCTAGGCAGGAGGGAAGGGGTGCCCCTCACCCCCGCCAGCGCCCCCTCCAGGCTTTAGTAAGAACACCCCCAACAATCTCTCTGCCAAGGTCTTTGCCAGAGGGGGTTTCACAGGAGGCACGGCCTCCCTGCTGGAGCCTCAGCCCGCAGCCAGGGAGGACTCTCACAGGGGTCTGAGGGCGGGCCGGGGGTGGGTCGGTTACCTTCAGATTCACCGTCACAGGCTGAGACAGGACCGGGTCCTCCCCGACCTCACACAGGTGCTGGAGCCACAGAGGACGCGGCGGAGGTCTACCTTGGCCTTTCCTCCGTGGCCTTGAGGGACAGTAGGAGGGCGGCAGTGAGGACCCCTCTGAGCCCCAATCCTCCAGTCTGGACCCGGCACTTTGCACCTGCTCTCCACTTCTCACCCTCACCCGCCCTGCGAGGCAGCTGACACGGCCTCCACTTGATGGCCAAGGAAACCAAGGCTCAGAGAGGTGCAGTCACTTGCCCAAAGCCACACAGCAGGTGGGCACCAGAGGGAAGATTCTAGGTCCGGCAGCCTCCAAGGCCTCCTGCCGCACCCACAGGGGCGATGCCAAGGATGCCTGCAAGTCTCCCCTCTGGTCTGATGTGTGGTCGTCCCTGGGCCTGTCCCCAAGAGTCCCAGTGCTCTGCCGGACCCCTCCCCTGCCCTGGGTGCTGTGGTGTGGCCCGGAAGCCCCGAGGCCGATGCACAGGGAGCAGAAGGGATGTGTCCCTTGCACAGAAGCTTGTCTTGCCTCCGTGAAGGAGGAAGCACCTGCTGGACTATGACCTCCCTCTGTCAGGGGCCCTGGTGGCCACAGTGACAAGGGCCTTCTGCTGAGCCCACCAGCCATGAGTCCTGGGGGAGAAATGGACATGGCTGTGTCAGGACAGGGGGGGTTGGGCCTTCTTGCAACTGCAGCACAAGAGGCTTGTAAACTCTCTTCTACGTGTCCCAGGGCGGTGGTTATGGATTTGAGTCCTGAGTCAGGCAAGTCCCTGTCTCCTGATGACAGTGGGGGTTACGATGGTGGCGATGACAAGACACCTGGTTCATGAGGCGGCCGTGAGCTTGGGGAAAGCGGGAGGATCTCACTCCATCCCTGAGGCTCTGTTCCCTCTGCCCCTCACTCGCTGCTCTCCAGGGAGGAGGGACCTCCATTCAGTGGGCCTGGGGCACCCCTAGTCCAGCCCCTTCTCCTTTGGGAGCCAGCCGTCCACAGGAGACCCGTTGACTCTCGGGGGCTCCACACACAAGTGGGAAGGGGACGCTCTGCCTGTGTGGGGGAGGCTGCCTGCCCAGCGTCTTCTGTGACCGGTGGGGGTTCTCGATAATGGGGTTCAGTGTTAGGAAGCCACTTGGCTGCAGAAATGAGCTGCGGTCCCCGAGATCCACTTGATCAGAGATGAAGGTGTTATCTGGCCTGTAGTCACTTCTTTTTCCTCCTTAATCTGTGGACTCCTGAGGTCTCTTTGGTGCGGCCAGGACCCGGGTGGGGCTCCGGGGACAAGAGGGTGGCTGAGGGGCAGTCAGCCCCGCCTTCGAGCTCTGACAGGGGAAAGGGGAGGAGAGGAGAGGGTCCAGCTAGACTTTGACAGTAGGATGAGTTGGTTCATGGCAGGGGTCACCTCCCCCAGGAAGCCCTCCATGATGCCTGCTGGGGATTAACATGAACATCAGCATCATTGTCTGGTGGCTTGGCGGCTTCTCCCTCTAGTCTGAGAGCTCTGTGAGTCCAGGGTCCTTGCCTACCTAGGTCACTGCTCCTAGCCCAGTGCCCAGCACAAGAGACATTTGTTCACTGAATGAATGGAGACTCCGGCAGTCAGGATCCTGAGTCCAGAGGCCAAGTGGGAACTCAGCTGTTCAGGGCTCCAGGAGGAGACCCTGGAGGAAGCAGGACGGGTGTGCAGCCTGAAGCTCTGGCAGAAGGTGGACGATGGCCGGGGGTTGGGGGTGGGGTTAAAAGGGGTCCATGAGAATGGGTGTGGACAAACCCTGGACTGGGGTCCATGCCCATCGTGTGCCCTGCTTGCTGAGTGACCCTGGTCCTCACTACCTCCCTCTGGGCCTCAGTCTCCCCATGGGGCAGAGAAGAGGAACAGGTGACCTCACCGAGGGGAGCCTGGTGGACATGGGGAGGGGCGAGGGAGTCTTGGACTCAGATCACACAGTCCAAGAGCTGGAAGGACCCTGAATCTCTAGTCCAGCCATTTCAGAGCACAGATGGGGAGCCTAATGCCCAGAGAGGGGACGTGGTTTGTTCAAGATCACAGGGCAGGGTCATGATTTCTCGTTAAGGTCTAGGATGTCAGCATCTCCCCTCTTGTCATTCAGGATCCCCCTGCTCAGAAGGCACCTCAGCGCCCCCTTCCTCCTTTTAGGACATGCCCTTTGAACCCTGGGCTGCAGCTGGGGCCCCCACCTCTTCCCAGTCCCTTGGCGACAGTGATGGGTCTGGGATCAGGCCACCAGCTCCCATCGGCCCCAATCAGGAGCTTTCCCTGGGACTCTGCACCTGCGTCTGGAAATTCTGAGTCTGGTTCTTGGTGGTGGTGGGGGGGTGTGTGTGACATGCACCGCAGAGGAATTCAAAGCCGCATCCCAGTAAGGAGCAGAGGGTCTACAGACAGGGAGGAGCACAGCTGAGCGAGGGAGGGAGAGGGGCGGCCTCATCAAGGTTCCAGCCCCTGAGCACCAACCACAGTCCTCCCTTCTCTCTGTCCTGTGCCTGATCCCTGGAATTGAGTCTCCTAGTGGTTCAGCCAGTTCATGTTGAACGTCACCTGCACCCAAGAGAGACCAGACTGGGGCCACTGGGAGATGCTGACCGCAGCCATGAGTCCTCCCGGACACAGTGACATCCCCCTCTGCGAGAAGGGCTCCCAGTCTTCCGGAAGGAACCACGGACCGATCCTGGGGCAGCCCCCCATCTGCTGGCCAATCAGATTCCTGGTCTGGGATCTGGAGCCTCAGACCCAGAGCCTTAGAGGCAGCTCATGGCAGTCCTGGGAGGATGGCTGTGAACACCTGCTCCCCACAGACTCCCAGCTGCCCTGCCCCCACCCCACCTGCCCAAGCCCCTTGTCCAGCTCCTCCAATCCAGGAGCTTGCGTGTTCTGCAAAACCAGCTGCCTCTTCCCTTTCTTTTATTTACAAACAAGAGAACTTCAACTGACACCCCTCAAACTGGACCCTGATCTCTTCCAGGCTTTGCGTCCCCAAAGCACAAAAGCCCAGGCTCTCTCCTCAGCACCGCTCCCCGTGCTCCCTGACCCTAGGTCTGAATGAGCAGGCGCCCCAGTGGACAGCTCAGGAGGTCCTTCAGGAGAGCCCTGGCCCTTACACATCTATGCTGTGCGGCACCCAGCAAGCACTCAATAAGTGCTTCTTGCTTGACCAAGAAAGAGCCTACCTGCTTCTAAAGCCCTGGGAGGGTCCCGGCTCTAAAACTGAAGAAAGGAGAAACTGTAACCACATCTCATCAAAACCTCTGCAAGTGAGGAGAAGCAGCCCCAGTACAAGGTGGAGTGAGAAACACACCAAGTTGCATCTGAGTGTTTCATTGTGTAAGGGCTGCTCCAAAGTCCCATCTTTAATCACAGTTCTTACTGTTTCTCGTGTTCAGTTATTTCAGTAGACGCACGGAACTTTTGTAAATCTACAGAGCTCTGAGTGGAAGCAATGCATGAGCTTTGCTGACCAGACCAGGGACTAGAACCACCCTCACCTGGTGACGGCATACCCAGAAATCGGATAGAACAAGTCTTTTAATGTTGATCCTCTAGGGCTGAAGGCATCAGGCCAAATATGTCATATTGAGACAGAAAAGGAGACATTAGAGCAGAAAATGAAGCATTCAGGGTGAAGGTAGAAGATCGAATTGAAGTGAGTCTCAGATCCACTCACACCAGCTACATGAGCTTGAGTGAACCCGAACCTCTCTGCACCACAGTTTGCCCATATATGAAAAAGAATTGTTTTTTAATGTTTATTTATTTTTGAGAGAGAGTGAGACAGAGCGTAAACAGGGGAGGGGCAGAGAGAGAGGGAGACACACAATCAGAAGCAGGCTCCAGGCTCTGAGCCATCGGCACAGAGCCTGACGTGGGCTCGAACCACAAACCATGAGATCATGACCTGAGCTGAAGTCAGACACTCAACCGACTGAGTCACCCAGCTGTCCTTGCCCACATATTTTTTTTTTTTCAACGTTTATTTATTTTTGGGACAGAGAGAGACAGAGCATGAACGGGGGAGGGGCAGAGAGAGAGGGAGACACAGAACCGGAAACAGGCTCCAGGCTCCGAGCCATCAGCCCAGAGCCCGACGCGGGGCTCGAACTCACGGACCGCGAGATCGTGACCTGGCTGAAGTCGGACGCTTAACCGACTGCGCCACCCAGGCGCCCCTGTCCTTGCCCACATATTAAAAGGATTTTGGATCAGAGACGCGTGAGCTGCCTTCTGCCCGCAGTTGTCCCCATCACGGTGCCCACCCCCCCAGGTCTGCCCAAGTTCATTCTGGGACGAACACCCCCTTACTGTTCAGCTCTCGATGCCGCGCCCGCCCACCCCCCTGGAGCAGGCCCGTGGTGAGGGGCCGGGGTCCCAGCAGCGGCCAGAGCACAGGGAAGACGACGGAGGTGTCGTTCAGCGTGAGGCTGGTACCCAGACCCCAGTCCAAATTGTTCCACACCGGCGATGGGGCATGACCTGGAGGGAAGAGTGAGCAACAGGCCCGCCTCTACCTGCTCCTGCCCGGGGGGTGGCCCCGGGGCCCCTTCCTACCTCCACGTGCCCGTTCCCTTGGCTGGAGTCGCGGCGTGCCTGCTGGGACGGCAGCACGAGCCCGCTTCTGTTGTCCTCGAGGAAGGCGGACTGAACCACGGGGTAGTGATTCTGCGGACACAAACATCGCCAGGCTGGAGGTCGGGGGGCCCCCGTCTGGCCACCCCAGGGAGCCCCCCGCACGGGCACAGCGGTAGCCCCGGTGGGGCTGGGAGACGTACGGTCGAGGCTCTGACTGTGGAGACCAACAGACTGTCCTTCAAACCGGCTCCGCTGCGTCCCGACCATATGAGCTGGGGACTCAGCCCACTCAAGCCTCAGTCTCCCCACCTGGACAAAGGGTGCAAACCCGAGCGCACACTCCTGCAGGAGCGATGAGGGACGTGTGGGGTCCAGCCCGAACTGGGCGGGAGGCTGATGGGGGCTACAGAGAGAAAGGGCCACATGGGGTCCGGGAAAGCGGCCACATCCCCCCGCTGCTCTGTGATGGCCTGGAGCCAAATGTCCTGGGCGGACCCACGTGGACGGTCCGGAGCCCCTGCCTAGCGGAGAACTAGCAAGGGGAGGAGAGGGACCAGAACTCGCAAGCGAGCATGGTGGGGACATACCCCTACGGGCCCCCACGGGTGGGAAAGAGGTGACGTTGACTGAAGGCATAGGAGGCCCCCAGCACCGGCTTCGCAGGGGCTGCTCCCGCTGACCCACCCAGCTCTGGCCAGGGGGTTGTTCCCTAGGTCGGGTCAGCAGGGAGCCATAAAGGGGCTCGTGGTCACCTGCCCCAGGTCACGGGGCTGGAGGCCAAGGTGGTGGGAGCTGATGTCCGGCTTCGGGCCATGGCTCATGGCTTCCACCAGGCAGAGATCTCCGAGGATCAGCTGACGTGGGTCAGGCCCCGCTCCGCCTTGACTGGCATCATCTCGGAATCCTCAGACCCACCCCCGATGAGGCGCTCATCTTACACGAGAGGAAACTGAGGCACGGGTGGGGACGGGGACATTCCTCTGCATGTGGGGGCGCCAGACGCCAGGTGTGACCCGGGTCGGGGCCTCCACCCCTGACTGCACAGCTGGGCAAGGGGGCTCTGCCACTGCAAGGGGCTGTTTAACGGGCTCCCCGCTCTGGCCTCTGGACGAGGGCCGTCAGGGACCCCCCGTGGGCCCCGTGTCCCCCGGGCATCGCAGGCTGTACCCGAGTGATGTTGTTCATGTTGTTCGCATATTTCCGGAAGTGCCTCCACTGCATCCAGCAGCCGCTGTTGTCTGAGGAGAGGACCCGGCGGTTGTGTAGACTGGTGCTGGTCCTCAGGATGGCCTCGTGGTTCAGCTGCAAGGCCACCCCCCCCCCCCCCCCCCCCCCCCCCCCCCCCGGGAGGGGCCCCCCCGCCCCCCGCCGGCCCCGGTGGGGGGGGGGGGGGGCGGGGGGGTGGGTTGGGGGGGGGGGGGTCTTCGGGTGGCCGTGGTGTTCCGGCGCAACGCCCCCCCCCCCCCCCCCGCCCCCGGCACTCCTGCTCGATGCGACGGCAGAGCAGCTCTCTGCCATGGCTGCGTGGGACGTGGGTGAGTTGGGAGTAGATGGCCTATGTGTGATCCGTGTCCCTCACCCTCCTGGAGCAGAAGCCAAATCTGTGGGTCAGGCTTTGGGAACTAGTGGCTCGCCCTTCCTTCCTTCCTTCCTCCTCCCTCCCTTCCTTCTTCCTTCCTTCCTTCCTTCCTTCCTTCCTTCCTTCCTTCCTTCCTTCCTGGTTTTGATCCCACCTTCCCTCCCTCCTTCCTGTCTGCAGCTAGGGCAGGGGGGCAGGGAGCCCTCCTGGGCATATTATGGGAGGAGCCAGGTCCAGGTTCTTGATAAGCAGGAGCTGGGGTGCTCTGCCTGGATGGCTTAGGTCTGTCATGAAAACGCTGTGCTGTCATGAAAACGCGAGACTCCCCTCCTGCGTGAGTCATTGCCCCTGTGGGTTCCTGTCCCAGCTCTGAAGTTGGACACCCTCTACGAGGCACACAGCACGTGCGATGGAGCCAGGAGGCCAGGGAGCAGAGTAACCCTTTCTCCATCAAGCTCCCACGGAGAACGACCATGTGCCAAGCACGGGTCCCAGAGCACGTAACCGGAGCAAACGTGGACACGCATCCCGTCAGGGCCCCGCCCACACGCGCCTCGCACGACCCTGGGGGAGCCTGAGCGCACCTGTAGGGGTACTGCCGGATCTCGGTCCTGAGCTCCCCCGCCACAATCTGCATTCCCACTGGTTTCCCTGGGGCGCTTCGCGGTCTCATTGGGTGCAGATGTGTAGTTATTAGAAATGGGCTGCGGATCCGTATCATGGTTGCGGTTACTCTCTCTGCAGAGACGGGAAAGGGGAAACAGTATTATGTTTGTGCACACGTGTCCCCAGCACGGTCCTCGCCATCGGGGAGCAGGCTAACGAGCCCTCTCCGCAGACGCCAGCCTCGACCTGTGAACACGAGTGATCTCGGCAGAGTAAGTGACAGGCACGAGGCCGCTCGGTGAAGCTCGTGCACTTGCATCAGATAAAGCCCGTGAGACGCCCCCTCCTCCCCGAGCCATAGTGGCCTCAGATTCCTCCCGTGTGCCAGAGGGGACCCAAAGCTGGAGGGCGACAGAGGCTACATAACAGGGCTCTGGGAGCATAAGCCGAGGGGTAGCTTCCCGCGGAGGTGGTGCCTGCTCTCCAGGCGGCCAGCTGGGCCCACCCTACTCCTTTCCGCAGGACCCCAACCGGCGCAAGCGGGGGCCTTTGTCCTGCTGACCCAGATGCCCAGGTGTCAGGAGCCAGCGCCCTCACTCACCTCACCTCATCAAGTTCTCCAGACGCCCGAGGGCAGAGAATATTAACCCATTTCACACTGAGTCACGTAAGGCTGGGTTTCCCGACATCACTGGCCTCAGACCACATGCACTGAAGACATGGTGTAGACACATATATGGTGTAGATGGGTCTATGGTGTAGACGGGTATGTAGTGTAGATGCATATATGGT